TTTCAGAGAACTGACAAGCAGTAAGTCTTGGCATGATGCAGGAAAAAGGAATTCAGGTATCTAAATTATCCACCTGTCCCACTGGAGTGGCATTGCCCAAACAGTAGCCCAAAAGTGGCTTTCCTTTATAAAATGGTAGTACTGCATATGAACAGTTATATTACAGCAGAGGAGAAACCACAGAGACTTAGATCCGAACGAAAAGAAGATTCTTATACAATTTTGAAAATTGCTCTTTCATAGCAAAAGGTTTAGCTTAAGTTAGCTCTATATAGGCCAAATTTGCTCTCAGGGACCTCGAGTCCTGTAGACCAAGGGAAAAAGAACTTGCTGACATGTTTGAACTCAGGTTTGACAATTTTGCCTAACAGATTTCAGGGTTTTGACAAACCCATTGCATGTAAATGGATGGCTGTGTGTATCCACGTGTGCACAAACACAAGACACATGCAGCAGGGTCTATATATCTGCTCACAAAAGCTGGAGACAACAAATGCTATTTTTTAGCTGCATTTCAGAATAGAAAACTGCTAATTAGATTAAAACAATTCAATCTGATCCTTGGCTCTGCGTAAGGAAAGCCTCTGGAGTAAGGCAATTGGAACAGGATGGAAACTATTTTCATCGAATAAACAGGCACTATCACTGTATCATGAGAAATAAAAATAAGGAAGCAAGGACATAAGAAATGGAAATGGAATAAAGATGATGAAAAAATATCACATTAAAAAAAAAAAAACCCAAAAACCAGTAAACACAGTGTTAAGTACCCAGTTGGTATTCCTACAGAACCAAGGGTAGGAAAGCAGATATGCATTAAAGACAGTTGGAAAATTTTGTGCTAGGTGTCTACTCTATTTAGATGTAGAAGTCCAAGGCAAGGACAACTGAAGAGTTAGAATTCCTGCAAGTACCAAGAAAGGCATTTTTAGTAAGTAATTCAGTAGATAATTCAAAAACTTAACATAAGGACTTACTTTAGATATGACACATAAAACATTCTGCATCATCTTTACCAAGGAAATACGTAGAGTTCTACAGGGGTATTTAGAATCTGCTCCTATTTGGAGCTAACACTGCAACCTGCCTTTTTATAGCCAATCCAGTCTACCAGTATAGCTTATGCATGAACATGTATTTGGCAAATAAAATCTGTTTCAAATTGGCCATATTTCAGCTATTTTTGATCTGTATCCCCATAATATAAGACCAGTGGAATTAAAGAAACAGAGGTAGAGACAGTCTCACACAGTCAGTTGGATAATACAAATATGACCTCTTCTCTGGGGCTTGAAGTAAAAGAGGGTAAAATAAAACGCAGGGAAGAGCATAGCTCAAACTTGCTAAATTTTCAACTGTTTGATCTTACATTAAAGAACTCAAACATTTTTCACAGTCCTGTAATCATATTTGCTTATGAGATAAAGCATGATTTTACCTAATGATTTAATTGCCAAAATCATCACTTGTCCAATTTACTACAACCGGATTAACTCCCTCTTTTACAACATCACATATAATTATTAAAACTCAATGCAAATAAATGTTGATATAAGAATTGCTCCTTATTTGTAGAGGCTTCAAAGTATTTTATAGAGTTCCCAGTGTTTGTATTCACCATAAATTGTCAGATTCTTCCACAAGAGCTGCAACTCTTTATTAAAAGGGGAACACCTAATAATGAATTTATGCTGAAGACTTTGAAATAGATGGATTTGTACTCATTAGCCTACTATGAATAATTCAATTAATGTAATAAGTGAAAGCTAATTCTATAAATATTTTCTTTTTATGACATTTTCCTTTTAATTGCTTACTGCAGTCTCAAAAAATAATGGAATTTTGGCAATAAAAGGACAGATCCATAAGCTGCAGTTTACTATACGCAACGTTGTCTTCAAAATAAAGAAACTTGGCTTCCAGTATCTTAGGATCATACGTTAAATTTCTTACAAGCAGTAAATTTTACCTATAACATATAATACATCTTATACAGTGTTTCCTGTATATTATGCACTTGAAAAGCCACACAGAGCCCAGCTTGATATAATCAGCCAGTCTTGCTTAGAGTTGAAGGTGACTAGAATTATTTTCACAATATAACTCAAGAATTTAGTATTTTTATAAAAGTCAGGTTTAAAGGTCTCACTTGGACAGGGCAGAGGCAAAGACCTCTGTTTAAGAGCTCGGCATATCAGCCTTACTGAGTGCAATAGCCAACTCAAGGTCTTCTTGTTCTTGCCTCCGCAATCGAGCTAGTCTTTCTTGCTCTGTTTTTTCACTCTCACGCTTTGCCCACGCCAGCTGCTGCTCTTCATTTCCAAACTAAAAAACGAAAATGGAAAACGGGTTAATAAACACATTTTCAGGAAAAAAAAAAAAAAAAAAAGGGGGAAAAAAAAAAAAAA